TTTTTTTTTTTTTTTTTTTGTTAAGCTGTTTTTCTTTCGTTGCTGTTTTCCAAGTCTGTCTTTCAGTGTCCTCAAATATTTTCTATTATTAGGAAATACTTAGAAGTATATTCATCTGATCTCCACCTCTGGGCCAGTGTTAAGTGCATATGTGGTTTATTGCTTATTTAAGGTTTACGCCTCCCCCACACATGTATTATAAGGTTATTAATGTGTTGTAGTCTAGGGAGCATACTGCAGTTAAATAAGGTTTCAATGCTCTGGCAAATGTGCTTTATATCACAAGAAGAATTGTAAAAATGTTACCAACTTGGCTGTGATACTAAATTCTACTCTAATGGCTAGCCACATGTTTCTTAACAAAATATACAATATGATTGTCTCATGTTTTACACAATAGCAATACTAGAGTTATTGTTCTGCACAGCAAAAATGGTATATACCAAGATGTCTAGCTAGTATCAGGTCTCCCTACACAATGTGTAAGAGGCAACTGTTTTAAAGGCATATAGGTGGAGCCCCCAGACTGAATATAACTGTTTATTAACTGGACATTTATCCATGACTTGTATATGTTGATATTTGTAAAATAAAAGTGGTAAATGAGAAATAACTGGTTACTCAGTAGTGCAAAAATGTAAGATCCAAATGATGCGGGCAGATAAAGATAGCACATCTAATCAGCCAAGAGTCTTTGTTCTCAGTCCTGACTAGCACTGAGGCTTGAATCTTTTAAATTAAACCCTGAAACACAGAGCCTGGCTTCTATGGAAGAAAGCAAGAGGAATAGCACCTCGACTGTGTGTTTTGAGTACTTATTTACAAGCTTTATCTCTGAAATAGGTCTGCAATACGTTGGAATGTGGAATTAGTGAAAATTATTGTATAACTGAACTCCTTTTTATAAAAGTCAATCTAGAGTTAAAACTAATTTTTTAAATGAACTAAAAAAATCTAAAGGAAAGATTGAAACATGAACAGCGCTTAACCAAGCAACCCACCCTGGTCTGTGTTTTTAGGCGATGTGTGGCTGCTGTCACAGTTGATCAAACTTCCAAGTTTGAGGCTTTTTTTTTTTTCTCTCCCCTCTTAGTCTCAGTGAGGTAGGCTAGGAATAAAGGAAAGAACCTGGACTTTTAGATAGTTGTGTGTTTACTTGAGCAAAAAAATTACTGTTGTAATCTTTTCTTGAGTTTTAAGGGAGTTTGAACTTGAAAAACAATTTTATTTTTTAATAAATTTAGATAGCACATTGACTTCTATTTTGAATGTGGCATTTACTAGTACACCTGTAAATTTCAGTTGGTTTAACTTTGGTTTGCAATCCTATTTTAAGGTATTTGTACTTTCGACACACCCGTATGGCTGCAGAGTAATCCAGCGCATTCTGGAACACTGCACTGCTGAGCAGACCCTGCCCATCCTGGAGGAACTGCATCAGCACACGGAGCAGCTCGTGCAGGTTAGTGTGTGCATTCACATGCCTTGTAGAACTTTGGTTTCATGCTTTTATTCCTCTTATTTCTTAATTTGTAACACAATTTTTATGCATTTGTCTACTCTTCCCTCCCTCACCCCAGTAATGTTAATTAAAATGAATGTGGAAGCTGGGAGTTCAAGAAGAAACAGAAAGCCTTTTTTTATGCTTTTGGCTGTGGCTTTGAATACATGTAATACTCACAGAATTAATATGCTCTTTATTGTAAAGACTGCCTTTTTGTAGCTGATCTTGATTCACTCTGTTCTCCTCAAATAACTTCTAACAATGTCAAAACACAAATACTTTGTCCAAAATATGTTGCATTTTCTCACAGAAGAAAAATCATCTTTTCAAAATGAAGGCCTAACACCTTATGTAACATGATTTTATGTTTTGGTCTGGAGTGAGCAAAATGAATGCTGCAGAGAACTGCCTTTGAAATTAAATCAAGTTAAAGTACAGAAAGGGGTTCTTAATGTTCAGTAGGAATTTCCACACATAAAAAGGCAAGAATTTATACTGTGCCTTAACTTAAAGGTCTAACTTATTTCTGTGTAGCTTATTGTATATATAAGTCTAGCCAACAGTATCTGGCTTAGGGAACCAAAGTTCAGGAAGATCTGACAGCTCTTAGAGAATGATGGGTTTAATTTTGAGGATTTTTTTTTTTGAATACATGAATACTTCAGAAAAATGCTGGTTTACGGATTTTTTTTTTTACATTTTTAGACTTTTTTCACATTTACATTACGTAATGGTTGAGCATTATTGTTTGAGACACATTGTTTCTGTAATGTTGACATTAATGTATTTTCCTTACGTCTATCCAAGTAGTACTTTGAAAGTTTATACAAATACACAGAAGCTGCATTACTTGGTTTGAACTTGGATTACTTGGTATTTTCAGGATCAATACGGAAATTACGTTATTCAACACGTACTGGAGCATGGTCGTCCTGAAGACAAGAGTAAAATAGTTTCAGAAATAAGAGGAAAAGTTCTAGCTCTGAGTCAGCACAAATTTGCCAGGTATTGCACAGCCTTCGTATGTTAAAGGATCACTAAACTTTCAAAGTTGCAGTATTAATTTGTTTATTGTGCTGCAGAAAGGATATGGTAGTCTCTTCCTTTGTATAACCTTTCTGAAATTTCCTGTTTTTATAAAAATGAACAGTGGTGATATTTTTATCATTTGTAAAATACTGGCTTTGAGGAGGGGAAAGGGGAAATGCTGTTCTGTAGTGAAACAAGTGTTTGCTGTTGGCTTCTGGGGTGGTGTTTTGTTCACTGTGTGCAAGCGCAGGCCGTGCCGGCAGGGAGCTGCAGGCTGCCCAGGAGGGGCACGGGAAGGATGCCCAGAGCCAGCTGAAAAGCTCTGCTAGAGTTTACTCACTTTGCTGCTGCTGGTGAGCTGGGACCTGCAGCTTCCTATCAGCTGAATCAAGCAATTCATCATCAGAGAGACTAGCTTAAAGTGGGGCTTCAGCCTGGCTAAGATTTTATTGAAGATGCTGAAGGGCTGTTGTAGAAATCCGTAGTTATCTTAAGGTTAGGAGCTGCAACTCGGCCTCCAAATGCTTGCTGAAGTGTAGATAATGCAACTTTGTTTCTAATGAAAATAAACTTCAGGATTGATTCTGGATACCTTGGACCAGCCTTGTCATCAACATTATGTAGAAAAGCTGTGTGACACTAGGGGATAGCTTTTTTAAAAAATAAAAATGTAGGGGCACTAAGTTTATCTGCTTTTTGTATTTCCATGCCTATATAAAATGGTTCATGTTCCTCTACTTGGAACTTGCTTAACTTCCAAAGGAAATTAAGGGCCAGAATCACTTTGTGGCTGGGTTATAATAATTGGCCTTTCCGATTATAGTCTGAAAGGTCAGAGACTTTGTCTACAAAAAGAAACGTGTGGCAGTTTTTTCTGCTCTAGGGAAGGGCCTTTATCCAAAACAGGAAGCCTCATGTCTGGCTTTCTCCCAGTTTTGTTTGATTGCAACTTGCCGTCTAAAACAGATGTGCTAAAATATATATGTAAACCAAGGTCCAGCATATCTGCTATACATCCAGTGGAGAATCTCTCCTGTAAGATCAACATCAGCCAGTTTTTATCCAGATGGTTCTTAAACATGAGTAGTGGGGTATAAACCTTTGAACGTTCTTGTGTCTCAGCCATTACAGACAAAAGGTTTGGAAGTCAGAACCTCACGCATTGCCTGTACTAACGTGGCACCTAAATACGGCACACTTGCACTGTTCAGATGAATTAAAAATTACTACTTTAGAAGAATGTGGCACCTTAAGTCACAATGCATTTGCCTTCTTTTTCAGCAACGTGGTAGAAAAATGTGTAACTCATGCGTCTCGTGCTGAAAGAGCTTTGCTTATCGATGAGGTCTGTTGCCAGAATGATGGTCCTCACAGTGCCTTATACACCATGATGAAGGACCAGTATGCCAACTATGTTGTTCAGAAGATGATTGATATGGCTGAACCCGCTCAGCGCAAGATAATAATGCACAAGGTACGTTCATGTATAATTCTGTGGCTCAGAGAAATCTGTCTTTTTTTCCTCTGTTTTAATTAATCTGTTGGAATCCCTTTTCCTTTAAACTTAAAGCTTACTAGTTCTGTAAAACCGAATTGATGTATAAGCACGTTCTTTAATTTCAGTGGGACTTTATCAAGCAGAGTATATTCGGGTCTCTGGGCATTGCCTTGTAAACTAAAAATGCAAATGTGCAGAAAAGTGTTGGATTCTTTGTTCCAGCTTTGCTGCGAAAATGCTTCTAATATAAATAGTTTGTGATCTTCATTAAAATGACAAAAACACACTTTTACTTACTAGCTGCTGGTATAAATCCCTTTTGCAGTTCTCAGAGAAAAGATTTTAAAAAGTATATTGGTCATCTGGGATTTCAAAATTGTATTTTAAATCTTTCTGGAAACTTCCAAGATTTTGAAATATAGACTTTCATCACTTTTTGATACAATTATTTGCAGGGGTGAACTTACAGTTTTTGGGTTTCTTCTTTGCAGATTCGACCCCACATCACAACTCTGCGTAAATACACCTATGGCAAACACATTCTGGCTAAGCTGGAAAAGTACTACCTGAAGAACAGTGCTGACCTGGGGCCAATCGGTGGACCACCAAACGGGATGCTGTAGAAGATGAGCAGAAAGAGGAATGGAAGAGAAAAAATATTGTGAATGATCAAAACATACAACTTAACTATAAATGTTCTGATTTTTTTAAATCTATTTATTGACTTTGTTCATCCATTTGTAAAATTTTTATTCTTGTGTATATTTTTGGGGAGTGAATTATAAAAATATCTCCAGCCCTGATCCGGAGACCTATCAGATTGGATGGCTGGCAAAGCACAGAATGCCTGTATATGATGTAATTGTATCAAAATAGCTGTCACATATTTTGTAAATTTTTACCTTGTAAAGTCACTGAAATAGTTTTTAAAGGGAAAAAGTACAGTATTCTTTTAATACACTGGCTTGCAATCTGGTAGGTCTATCCAACATCATAGCACAACAGGTTTATAGAGTTGTATATAGAATCAATCCTTACTTTTTCCCCTTTCTGTGAAGTCTTTTATACCAGATTAAAATTGATCAGCTGCATACGCATTATTTAAGATGTTGAAAAGTTAAGTTGTGTTTTGGTGGTTCACAACATACTACCCAAATAATAAACAGGGCACAGCAAATTAAAATAGGGAATAACAAAACAACAGAAACTTTAAAAGACAAGCTTTCATCACTTGCTGTGGACACATTTTTTTTAAGTTTTTTCTCTAGCAATGTATTAAAAATAAAAGTGCTGTATATACTTATATATTTAATTGTTGTACAAGGTAGAGGAATAAAATCATGGTGGTACTTCCACTCAGTAAAGTACACTGTTGGAAAAGAAGTGAACCCTGTATTAACTTTACAGTCAGTTTTACAATGCAGGAAGAGTAGAGATTTGTATTTTTTTATTTTGCATATAGAATTGTAAGGATTTGAAAGTGTTGAGCATTTATTTTGCTTTCTCACTGTAGATGCGAAAAATAGGTATTGATGAAAAGGGGCCACTGAAAAGTAAACTTGATAGCTCAACATTTAAGCATGATTGATTAAATATTCAGATAGCTTTTTTGCTTCCTATAAATATATGCATTGTATACGTGTAGTTAATAGGTGTAAGTTTACAGTTTGAAAACGGATCTCTTGTTTCGATGTTTATTACAAGCCTTGCTAATTTAGTAGTGATGCTTACCTTGGTTGTACAGATGTACATTTGTAAACCTTCATGCTGTAAATGTAATTTGTTTTACCCCTTTTTGGGACAAAAATTTGCATTTTAGTGTATATTCATATCCCCATTCCCTTTTCTCCCCCTGGCATATAGTGTTGTATAATGTAAATTTATTTCAGCAAATCAAGAGTGATTTTTTTTAAATTCTATCTTTATATGGTTTCAAAAATATGAACCGGCTTTCTTTTTATCTATTGTGAGAAACATTATGTTTTGTTTATAACATAGCTGTTGATTCTGTTAATATGGACACTTTGGGAAATGAATCTGTTCAAATTTTAAGTCGGGATAGCAAGCAGAGTGAGAAAGAAACGGACTGAAATATTTGGTTATCACAAAAACCAATGCTTCTTCCATCTTAATAAATGTGGCATGATTTTTTTGTACAGAAGAGTACTGTATTTTTGAATAGCCTACTCCCAACGTAAAGCAAATATGTATGATACTGTCAATTTTTTTCTCTGCACATATGACATTGTAACAGTAACATAAAGATGATGTACATTTACAAGCGGCCTTATGTACATTTCCCAATGATCTTTTTAAGGCAGAATTGTGACCATATGTGTATAATTAAAATCCTTTTTAATTCTTTGCCTATGGAAATATTTTGGAAAAAGCTTACTTTGTATATTCAGTTTCTGAAAGATAAAGGAAGTGCTTTGTATGTTGTTGAAGTAAGTATTTTGTGTAGAACATTCATTTTGATGGCATAAACCTAAGGTTTTGATCAACAAGATACGTTGGATACAATGTCTTGAGCATTGATCAAATAAAAGGCTGTTCTGATAGGGCTCTGAGGACAAGGAGAACTCATAGCAGTATAAACTTGTGTAAGGGATTCTGTCATGTTACTGTTTATATCAGATTTACATTAAGTCTTTTTAAAGCATACATCTTAAATGCTACTCTCTGTTTTATGGTAGCGTTAACTCATTAACAGAGAGGCAAATGGGCAGGTTTTTTGCTGGCCTACCTTAGTTGCTGGATCTGTCCTTTACTAGCTGCACAGTGAGGTAGTAGGCCTGATTATTTTCAAAAAGCACAATTCTAAATGCCAAATGTTATTTGCATGGCAGTTCACAAAATTCCTCTGCATAGAGGTGCGAGCCCTGTGATTGGAACAAGAGATTTCCCGTATTTTCCCACACATAAGATGACTTTTGAGGCACTTTCTTGGCAATGTTAATTCTTCTCAATATTTTTATCCTGTGTACAAGTGCTGTATGTTATTAATCCACAAAGCTGGCATTATTTTCAATGTGTAATATATTAAATTGGACTCTTAGATGTCCAAGAAAGTGGTAATGTCCCAATACTTTGTCCCGGTAATACACATGCCATGGTTGAATTAAACAGTCCTATAACTTAACATCCTTTGTGCTCTCAGTACTTTGAACATAATCGTCCACTCACTTTTCTACAATCATTCTGCACAAATGATGTACAGGAACATAAAATCACTGTTTTTTTCCTTCGAACTATTTTAGGGTTTGGGTAGAACCACTAGACTTTTTGCTCAAGTATCGCTTTTTGATATAGATTGTTTATGGACCAGTTTGATTAGGTTTGACTCCAAGTGACTAATACTGACTAATGTAATGTTCACATGTATATACTGTAAAAGAAAGAAAAAAAAAAAAGAAAATGTGTGAATAACACTGTGTGAAATGTATCTGGTCTTGTGTTTTTTCCTGTAGGAAACCATTCCTTATATTCTCAGTTAGGTCTCATGGCATTTTTGCTATCTTGGGGAGCTCAGCTTTGAAAGACCCTGGTTTCTGCTTCGCTGTTCAGGTGAGGGGCAGATGTTTAGTTAGGAGCCTTCCATTAGGTCACTTCAGCTTTTGAGGCCATTCCTGAGCAGCAAAACCTTCATATTCACCCTGCTACAAATGTGTCTGCAAGGTGATGGTGGTGAAGGCTTTATCTTCATCATCGTCTCTTGTATGGGGCTGGGACCATAGGGAGTCTGAGAGTACCTGCACTGTTAGCTGCCCCTGCCAGCGCTGCATCCACCGGGTTTTCTGCTACTGACCAGGATTTTTGAAAGGACCATTTCCAGCTTTAAGGTGTGGGGAGAAGTGATTTCCAACAGCACAGGGAGGGTTGGCTTCCAGTGCTCAACCACCCCAACTGGCTGCTAATGGATGGAACAGCAGCAGTGTCAATACTTCTGCTGCTGCCTGCTAGATTCACCGATCCCCTTTTCGTCAGACAAGGGAAAATAGAAGTTCTTGGTGGCAGAAATGAGATATTTTACAGTGCTAAGATTGAGGCTAGTCATTCTTTCCCTTGCCCTCTGCTCTAGGAAACACATTTTGGAGAGCTGCTGCTGATGATGTGGTGTATAGGAGGTAACCTGGTAAGTGAGCTGACTATTGGTTTTGTTCTAATAAGACAGCTGATGTTCAACACACTGTTAATTAGGGAAATGGGTGACAGAAATAAATATGAGAGGAAGTTTTGCAAAAGCATTTTAGGATGTGATAACATTAAAATTGGAGATCACAGTTAAGTCATGCAGCTGGGCAGAAAACTCAGTCCTCTATAGGAAGGTAATTTGCTGCTGAGTCATGGCAGCTGGTTTAAAGCCCCCTATTTACCTTTTCAGAGCAGGGTGTTCACCATGCAACCCGAGAGCAGCGGATAGTGCTTTGTAGCTCTGCTCAGTAGATTTGCAACTCTTGAAGACGCTACTTGAGGAAAGAAAGAAAATACCAAATTTACCAGCACTGAAAATATTCTTCATCTACGCTTGCTGTACCTTGCAGTGGTCTCCCTGTGCTGGTCCCAGCCTACAGCAGGGTAGGGACTTTTGCCGGTTTGTTGCCACAAACTTCCACCTCCTGGGCAGCCTCGCGGCGGTGCCGGCGTGATTCCCAGCCTCCCCGGCGACGCAGAGCACATGCTGCGGCGATACTGCAGTTCACTGTGCCCTGCGTCACGAGCAGGAACATCCAGCAGGGCACATCCACCACACAGGTTTATCCAAACTGCATGTATTGCTCAGCAGGAGGATGCAGGAGTCCTTCCACCAGCCCCTTCAGACCGAGCCCCTCCGTTCCGTGCCTGCCTTGGGCGCAGGGCACTTGTCTGGCAAATGAGATGCCTGGATTTGCTTCCCTTCAAACCACGTCGCTTTGTAAGACCACATCCTAACCACAAGGAGCTGGGTGGGTTCCTTTTCTGCTGAATCTGGCCTGGGCTTTTAGCACAGCTGGCATCATTCCTCGCGCAAGATGGAGCATGACTCTGACAGCGTGCAGGTGGGTAGGTTCTGCTCCTCAGAGCGTCTCCCAGCGCCTTTCCTGAGACTTACTATAAGTAAAATGGATCTGGAGAGCAGGGCATCTCCACCATTAAATTGGGGAGACTATGTGAGGATTTTTATAGGGCAACAGAAAAACAGGAGACAGATCTATTCCTAAGGACCCTCTCCCATTTCATTACTAAGAAAACATAAATAAAACACCACCTCGTCACTAGTATGAGTACTCTGCATGCCAGAGTATGTGAACCCTCCTTGTACATGAACACTACTTACCCAACCCTAAAGTATCTTGATATCCAAAGAAGATTCAGGGTCATACTGTGGGAGACACAGCTGGCAGGCTGGACCACACGATGGGGAGAAACACGATGGCTGCACAAACATCTGCTGGCCGTGGTAGCCACAGCGCCTCGGCTGCCACAGCGCCACGGAGGAACGTCACCGCGGCGGCCAGCGAGGAGCAGGCCGAGCCGCTGAGCTCCTTCCCTTCCCAGGCCGGATTTGTCATCCGCTCCCAAGGCTTCACATACAGTCTGCTCCCACTGAGGTGCTGTCCGCAGTATCAGAGAAACAGCCGTTTCAGATGTCACTTCAAGAAGGTCCTCAAAGAAATGAAACTGCTTCCTGAGTGAAAATGGCTGTTGCAGGGAGTGCTATGGCAAGGGCAACACATAGGGAAGTGGCACATAGAAAGGACCAGAGAGGCTGCAGCAAGGGCAATTATGACAAAAAATACATTCACAGCAATATTCTCTTCTTCCTTGAGTGCCAAGTATAAGGACCCTATGCCCGGTCCTACCTCAGGAGAAGCAGAAGTTAGAGGTTCTCCTGTCAGGAATGAACATATTTCTTTCCTCCTCTGTATAACCCTTACCCTGTCTTTGTACTCTGTGAGAGCCAAAATGTATCACCAGGAAGTATACTCACTGCTCCTGCACACAGGATGCTCTGGGAGACCATCATCTCGTAGATAGCCCAAATATAGTCTTCTCCAAATACAGTCCTCTTCTCTAGTCCAAAAACGGTCTTCTTGTAGATATAGCCCAAATTCCTCTCTGTTGTGCTTACCTCTGATGGGTTTTCCTGGGCTGCTTCCTGCTCCTCGGCCTTATATATAAACTAGCTTCCAGAAATCAATATGGCAATCAGAGCAAACACACAGAAACAAGGGCCACGGAGAGCTGAAGCTTGCCTGAAGAGCTGAGGATGGACAAACTCAATGCAAGCCACAGAATCAACCCTGTGCATGGAGGGGTGGCATGAATGGAGCAGAGCTTGACAGAGCTCCAGGCTAATGACCCCGTTCAGTTGGGACATTTGACTCTTTAAAAGCCTTTTTGTTTGAAAATTCCAAAATTCACATGATGTCTCTATTTCCTTGAAATGTCAGGCGCCTCATGAGAACACAGGGTTTGATGAGCTGACCCAGTTTGGGAGCCGCAGGAACTTGCTTGGACACGTGGGGAACCAGAAGCCCCAGAAATGTGACAAGGGCACTAAAGGTCACTCACAGCGCTCTTACGTGATGTGACACACAGCTCCCTCTGCGCTCTTGAAGAACGGATACAACCCCTAGAGTCCTGCCATGAGGGCTATTCCCCCTTTGTAAGGCTGCAGGGGAGACTCCATCAGGTGCGGACACTTCTACTCGGACATGTGTGCCAGGGAAGGTCCCGCTGCCTGTGCAGGTGGCTGGTGCCATCTGAGACACGTTGGTGCACCTGAGACACCCAACAGGGCAGACAGGACCTCCCACCCCATCTCGCTTCTGCCTCGCTGCCAGCTTCTGCTCCACAAGGACATCCATGATGGCACTAGATACCTCTGTGTAGGCAGCGGGCCTCTTCCCCTAGAAAGCACCAGAAACCACTAAGCAGCTTTGTACAAATCAGTGGTGAAATGGGGAGAAGGAAAGCAAAAAGTAGCAATAGGCTGGCAGGGTTTATTGGGGATGGGAGCGAAAACAACTTGATATTACAGAATAGCAAGAGATAAGAGATGGAAAAGCAAAACACACACATTTCCCCTGCAAAACTCAAAAACTCAGCCTTCGTACTAGGCCTCCCTGCAGAATACAGCTAACCCCAGAATCATGTAAAAAGAAATCAAACTTCAAACAATAAAGGAGAACAAAATGAAGTGATGAAGCTCCCTGTTTGCCCTGCCGGAGGTGGTGCTACCTCACGTACACCACGCCGGGCAGCGTGCACGCACGCCTGCCCTGGGCCCTAGGCTGGACCCATCTCAGCCAGACCAGCACCGCATAAACCTGCCCCACAGCCTGGCCGGCGCTGCAGCCCCAGCCGCCTCCCTTCTCCTGGCTCCCCATCCCTGCTGGTATTCCCTTTCCCAGCTCTTGCCCTGCACGCTGTGGCCACCAGGGCTGCCGTTCCCATGGAGGGGGGATGAGTCAAGGAGAGCGGCAGCTGGGTCACCTCCTGCCTGCGGCCCTTCCCTGGAGAGGCTCTCGCTCCCTGGCGGTGCCACGAACACCCCCTGACACGGAGCTGTGATCCC